AAGAATGGGAGGCAAGGAGACAGTGCAGCCTTCTCTTGTAAGGACTTTTGTCTAAAGGAGAGCAAAGAAATGGAGTTCTGGCTGGAAGGGAATCCTGGGACAAGTGAAAGTTCAAGATGGGAGATATTACACCGTATCGTACATTAGTAAGAAAAGTTAACTCAGAAATGAGAGGGGACAACTCAGCCACACAGACCTTGGAAAGAAAGGCCAGAGGTGATTGAGAATCAGCCCATAATGAAGGACTGGCCTTAGATAAGAACACTGAGACTTTACTGAAAGAGGAGGAAAGGGAGATACACTTGTATTTCCCTAGATTTGGTGGCAAGAGGACCAAGACATTTGCTTTTGACATCTTTTCATTTTCATAGTGGTAGAAGCAGCAAGGGACTTCAAGGAAGAAAAAGGGCACCAGGGAATTTTATTTCAGATTATCCATGAGACTTAGCACATAGAGATGCCGGGGGCCCAGTTAAATCTGAATTCTAACTAATTACTTACCCATATGTACTTTGGTATAAAAGAAAAAAACCAGAGTGATGTCGGCAAGATGGCTGATTAAGAGTTCTCTGGCTGCATTTCCTGCCCCCCAGAGAAATCTAATTAGCAATTATCCGCAGGCAAAAATACCATCCTAAATATCCTAGAACCTGAGAGAGAGGCTGAGACACTCCACTGGACTATAGAACAAGGCATTTGAAATTATCCAAGCAGAGGAGCAAAAAGAATGAAAAAGAACGAAGAAAACCTATGGAGATTATGAAAAACCATCAAGTAAATTAATCTTCGCATAGTAAGAATTCATAAGAAGAGAGAGAAAAAGGCCTAGAAAACATATTTAAGAAAATAATGGCTAAAAATTTCCCAAATCTGGGGAAGTACAACAACATCCAGGTACAGGAGGCTCAGAGGTTGCCAAATTCAAACTGAGATACATCACAATCGGATTATTAAAAGCAGCACAAAATAAGAAACATATCACATTCAAGGGAGTTTCATATAGCATTCAGTGGATTTCTCAGCAGAAATCCTACAGACCAGGAGAGAGTGGGATGATATATTCAGACTGTTAAAGGGAAAAACAAAAAACCCCCAAAAAGTGCAACCAAGAATATTTCACCTGAATGCTTCAGGAATGAGGGAGGAAAAAAAACTTTCCTGGACAAACAAAAGCTAAGAGAGTTTAAAGTTAAGGCCTGCTTTAAAGAAATTGCTAAATAGAGTTCTTAAAGCTGAAAGGAAATATCCTAGTTGATAACAAAAAACACGTGGAAGTAAAAAACTCAATAGTATAATACATAGTCATACTCAGAGTTCTCTAATAACGTAAGGGCGGTAATATAAAGCAAGTTTATCCCTACTTGGAGGATTTAAAGACAAAACTTAAAAACAACTGTAACTATGATAAATTAAGAGATACAAATTATAAGGACAAATGTAAATACCTGACATCAAAATCCTAAAAGGTGGGGGGAAAGGAGTGAAAATGTAGTTTTTGTGTGCGATTAAAGGCAAGTTGTTATCGGCTTAATGTTGCCTGTTATAAGGATATTTTATATAAGTTTCATGGTAAACATAAAGCAAAAATCTATAGTAGATGCACAAAATATAAAAAGAAAGGATTCAACACATACCAACACAAAAACTATCAAATCACAAAGGAAGGCAGCAAGAGAGGAACAAGGTACCCACAAACAATCAAAAAACAAATTACAAAATGGCAGTGGCAAGTCCTTATGTATCAGTAATTACCTTGAATATAAATGGATTAAATTCTTCAATAAAAAGACAAAGTGGCACCTAGACCTTTCTCCAAGCTGATGGCACTTTAAAGGGTCTGTACCCACCTTCCTCTTCCTACCTTTTCCTTCCAGCTGGTGGGAAAACACATAACGGCATGAGCTTGACCTGCTGTCTTAGATCATTGAGGGAAGCTCCATTTTGAGGAAGACAAGTAACAAGATTAAATCCTAGTTAAGTCCCAGTGAAAGCCCTGGACTGCCTCCCAGACTTCTTCATGGGGGGGAAATGTCCATCTTCTTTAAGTTGTCATATTTTGGGGTCTCTTTGAAACAGCAGCCTTGACTAGTACTAGTCAAGTACTGACACATTTTAATAGAAACCACAGTTGCCAGTATGGTTAAAAAAAA